TCGAAAGAGTTCGCAGCAAGAAGATTCTCAATCAAAATGTCTAGGGCACATAACATAATTAGATTGGGAGTTTGAGATTGGATTCGCAGCAGATGACTTGCCGGTTGAGAGAATCTGAATGACGAGGGCAAAGAATCGCACTAAGGGCAAGGAACCGATTCAACGCACAAGGATTGCGAAAGGACAAGAAATCAACTCTGCGCACAAGGATTGCGAATGAAGAGAAGAAAGTAATTGAATGAAAAGACTAAAGTACCATTGAGTAATTACAATCGTTAGATTATAATGAATGATTAAAATACCATTCAGCAATGCTGAATTATACTATAGAATCAACACATGATCATTCCCCTGATTCAATTAATTGTTTGTATTAAAGTGTTTATTAGAATAACGGTTTAATATTAGTTATTTATATGTATAATGAAAATTAAAGACATTTGTATTTTATTTTTTAAAAAATCCAATTTTGTTCGTTATGATTTAAAATTTTAGAAGATTTTGTTATTAATTATTGAAAATTATAAAAGTATTATAAAATATTATTTTTATTTTTTTAGATTTGAGAAAAAATTTTTTTATTAAAAACAATAATAATTATTTTATTTAAAATTGTGTAAAATATAAAATAATTTTGTATATACAATTTTATTATGTTAATTATTGACTAATTTATTAATTTATTCTATTTTATTTATCTTAAATATAAATTTATATAATGAAAATTATATATGTTTAATTTGAATAGATTTATATATTTTACAAATAAAATAATTTATATGTAATAATCAATAATAGTAATTATTTTAAATTTATAAAAATAAAATTATAATTTAATAAAATAAAATAATTGATAATACTGCATTAAAAATATATTGATGTGTATGAAATAAATGATTAATTTCTAACCATATCATATCATATATATATATATAAAACAACTCAAAAGGTGGACCCACATTTTTGTAAATTTATGCAATCCTACAATTTTAGAATTTTGAGATTTTTTTGGTTTTTTTTTTTTAATTTTTTTTACAGTTTTACAGAATTATGCAGAGTTACACAGAATTACAGTTTTTATTATTTGATATAAGTGATAGAGGGGTGACTGTTAAAAAAAATGGACAGGGGTGGTGGGATGATACAGTTTTCATTGCTCATTATCATATATATATATATATACATAATATGATAGAGATTTTGAGATTTTTTTGCTTTTTTTTTAATTACAATTTTTTAATTTTTATTCTTAGATTTAGAGTTTATTATTATTTTTAATTATGAAAATAAATGATAGAGGATGTGAATGACCATTTTCAAATAGTGGGATGGTGGTTTAAACGTTAGTGGAAGAAAACTGATATATATATATATATATATAGACATGTGAGAAAAGAGTAATGCGAGTTAATGGTGAGAATAAAAATTTTAAAATTTATTATCATTGATGCACTTACAATGAATTCGCTTTTTTATAATTTTTTTTATTGATAATATTGAGTTGTTTTGCTATTTTTCTTTATTAATAATATTTTTTTTATATTTTTGAATATTTTTTATTGATAATATTGAGTTGTTTTGCTATTCTTCTTTATTAATAATATTTATATATATATTTATAATTTTTAGATTTTTTTTCTAAATTGTTTATTTTGTTATGTTTTTTCTGCGTAGCCATAAAATTGGAATCCCACATACTTTTTTATAAATTCTTTTTTATTAATAATATTTTTTTATCAATAATATTGATAGTTGTTTTGCTATTCTTCTTTATTGTTTATTTTGTTGTGTTTTTTTGTGCAGCCAAAAAGTAGGAATCTCTAATACTTTTTTGATAATTTTCTTTTTATTGATAATATTTTTTTATTGATAATATTGAGTTGTTTTATTATTCTTCTTTATTAATAATATTTTTATATATATATTTATAATTTTTAGATTTTTTTTTCTAAATTGTTTATTTTGTTGTGTTTTTATCTATGCAGCCATAAAGTTGGAATGCCAAATACTTTTTTGATAAATTTTTTTTATTGATAATATTGAGTTATTTTGATATTCTTCTTTATTGATAATATTTTTTTTTTATATATATATATTTTTATAATTTTTAGTTTTTTTAGATTTTTATTAAAATTGTTTATTTTGTTGTATTTTTTCTGCGCAGCCATAAAGTTGGAATCAAATACTTTTTTGATTATTTTTTTTATTGATAATATTTTTTTATTAATAATATTGAGTTGTTTTGCTATTCTTTTATATTGATAAAATTTATATATATATATATATTTTTTCTAATTTTTAGATTTTTTTTGTTTTCTCTAAATTTTTATTTTGTTTTTTTTACGCAGCCATAAAGTTGGAATCTCAAATGTTTTTTTGATAAATTTTTTTTATTGATAATATTTTTATATATATATTTATAATTTTTAGATTTTTTTGGTTTTTTCTAAATTGTTTATTTTGTTGTATTTTTTCTGCGAGTTGGAATCTCAAATATTTTTTGATAAAATTTTTTTTATTGATAATATTTTTTATATATATTTATAATTTTTAGATTTTTTTTGTTTTTTCTAATTTTTTGTTGTTAGCGATAGGTTTGGTGATTTTTTAATTTGTAATATATAAAAATTATTTTATTATACATTTAAGTGTAATTTAAATTCTTATTAGCAATTGATCATAATTTATATTAAGTTATATGTTATTTTTATTATTTTTTTCATCATAGAGAGTTACAATACTGTAATTAAGTTATCTGGGAATTGATTTTATTTTTTAAGTTGTAAAAAATAGAAATTGTAATATGTATATGAATAATAATTTTATTTTTATAATTAATCAAGTTATAAACACATCCAAATATAATTATAGTTTTTATATATTTTTTAATTAATTTTGTTCATAATAATTAAATTGTTATTTTAACATTAAATTATTTTAGTTATATTGCATATTTTATTCCAAAATTTAATATTAAATTATTTTAATTATATTGCATATTTTATTCCACATATATAATGTAAATCATAATTTATATTACATATTTCTTTCCGAAAAAGTTTCTGCAGAGGTGGACTGATGTCAGCTCTATTTGGTGCGTGTGTTTGACCGAGAATTAGTGGATGATGGTAGATGATGATAATGTTTTTAGTTCGTGTTTTCAGAAAATCCAGCGGCGGCTGCTCAAATCAGAAGATGTGTTAAAATTGTTGTTACGGGTGTAGTGAAGATTTTGTATTTAAAATAAATGAATAGTACTATCCAAAGTTAAATGCATATATTTTATTAATTTTTAAAATAATTATATAAACACATATATATGTTTAAAAAAAAGCATAGACTTATGTTTTAAATTTATTCTAGAATTACAACGTATATATTGATAAATAATTTTGTTTGTAATTTCGGTTGTAAAGAAGATATAAAAAAATATATTAAAATTTTAAAATATAATTTATTTTGCATTCAAAATTATTTTAAATAATACTATTATATCTTACATTCAATTAAGAAATAAAAGTAAAATGCTACAAAATTTAATATTTACGCAAATAGTATAATTTATTGATATTATTTTATTTTTTTATATTGATTAAAAATATATATATAATATATAAAGAAATTACTATTAAAAAAATATACATAATTATAATTTTTTTCGTTGATTTCATCGTACGTAGCACGAGTATTCCGCTAGTACTAACAAATAAGAAATAAATAAAATTAAAATTAAAAAATAATATTAACATCTTTCAGACATTCTGCTTCTGCAATAAAAATAATATGTAAAAAATGATATTGCAAAAGAATAGTATAAAAATACAATTTAGTAAAGAAAAAATCGAATCTTAAAGAAAATTTCAAGAAAATATGAGCATTAATTAGGAATGATCAATTCGTTGATAAATGTGTAAAAGAAATGAGAATATAAGTTCGAAATCAAATAAAAAAATAAATTTCATAAATTTAACAGCGGTATATATCCACTAACAGTATAAATACCTAGGAGTGAGAAAATATATCGAAATATCGCGTATATTGTAGCGAAAATACCGAATTTTTGGTATACTGTAATTTCGGTACGATATGATACTGTACCGAATATTTTTGGTTTGGTAACGGTATGCACTTTCTATTTTTTCGGTAGTTTTTGTATATACCGAAATATCGAAAAAAATTCGGTATTTCCGTATATACTGAAAAAACCAACATATCGAATTATTTTTTATATTTTCGGTAATATCAAAATTATTTCTTTTTTATATTTAATATATAGTAATATATTCTTAATAATTCTAAAATAGTAAAAAAAAAATACTAATTCAGTATTTCTATATTTTGGTATAATGCGGTATATACCAATATTGTTTAAATTTCGATATTTCGGTATAATACTGTATATATCGTTTAAATTTTGGTATTTCGATATAATATGGTAGATATATACCGGTTAAATTTTGATATTTCGGTATAATACGGTATAAATCGATATTGTTTAAATTTCGATATAAATCGATATATATCGATAACGGAAAGATAATTCGGCATACCGAATAATCGGTACGATAGGATATAAAATATAAGTCATACCAAATTTTCGATATACCAATTTCTCAGTTCGGTAACGTTATGATAAATTATCATACCAAAAATTTTTGGTATGATATACAAAATACAGTATAAATTTCGATATACCATACCGAATCAGCCCTATAAATACCCCAATAAGAGACTGGTATCAAATATATAATATATAGATAGTATATTGTTGGGCTATTAAATATACATACGATTAAATATTTATATTTATATTCAACAAGACAATGATAAGCTCTGTTCAACACATTTTTCCTGTCTAAAACATCGTAATCATAAGAATAATTTTCCAACTAAAATATCACAGATAAATTAATATTTTCCGATTTCAAATACAGAACACCCAAACAGACTATCAGAGAGATACAATAATGAATGCTCACAAACGCATCAACTTAAATATGAGTTATTCACCAAATCGAGGTCAAGTTACAGAAACAACAACAACGTAGCCCACTGTCTTAAAAATCATAATAATATCGAAACCTAGCTCCCATGCATGTTTAAGCAATTCAATTTATGAGCTAGAAATAATTAATAATTAATAATACCCCAAACTTAAATTATCCTCACATGCATACGTACATACATAAATACATACATACATAGATACATATAATTATATAGATGCTGACCAAGACTATCATGGCAGCCATCCTGAGATGTAGTTATTCACACTAGGCCCCGCCGCTGCCGCCGCCGCTGCGGCGGCTGCCGCCATCGGATCTGGGTGGTACCTGAGTTACGTATACATATATATATATATATTTACTAGTAATTCCGGCTACCGAAAACGATATAAATTTCTTTAAAATGACCTAATTAATTTTCAATAAAGCGCTTACCCGATGTGGAGCGTAGGTTCGCAGTCGAGAGGGTGGTAGAATCCGCCGTCCGGGTGTGGTTGGGGGGCCTGCCTCCCATACCCAACGACGACGTCTTGAGGGTTAGGGTTAGGGTTCCATTGGAGGCTTATTTGGCTCACTTCCATCAGCTGTAAGAAAAAGACAATCCAAATTAACATATCTTTTTTCTTTTTTTTTATGATTATTTTTTGACTAAGGAGTGTCCTAATGATCGAAAGGGCCACGATCATCGTGTTGCGTACGTACCCGTTGTTTAAGGCTCTTGTTCGCTTCGTTGAGGGCGTGCTCCTAGCAATCGAAATAAACTGATTAAAATGTGTTTGTACATTATATATGATGAGATACAAGAGATTATCGAAAACCTTTCTTTGGAGATCGGTGAGCGTATCCAGCATTGCTTGGGTCTGCGCAACCAAGAAATTAATTCGTTGAAGATTATTTTGGCAGATTATTTAATAAACGCATACAATATCATGTGTAAATTTTACCGCAGAATTGAAAAAAAAATGTTAGAGAACTCCTACTCTATTAAGGGTTTGTGCCCAAATATAGGAATTCTATTCATTGTCTTGATTCACATGATAAGGAATTCCTTAATATATATATATATATATATTACATATATCATTACATAAGAAGTAAACAATGCTCCCTTTGTCTCAAAATTGTTGCAACTATTTTTAATTTCGACTATCATAAAAAGTTTTGCAACTTTCCTTCCTTTCTATAAAAAAAAGTAGTAATAAAAAAGCTATTATATATATATATGTATATACAATTAATCAAACTATTCTAACTAAAAAATAAGGCCGTTATGATCCAAACAATTTCGAACTTATATTGAGACGGAGGGAATATATATACACATAAAAAAGTGGAGAAATATAATAGAAGGAAATTGGTTTGTATGAAAGAAGTATTAATGATTTAATTAATTAAATTTACCCTAGTTGATCTAATCTGCTTGAGGGAAACATCGAGTTGCCTCTCCAGAGATTCCAGCTCTTTGCTGTTCAAAGGCCCAAGATCCTCTCCAAGAAGATTCCTATATATATATATACATACATACAGCTTGTAATAAAATTAACTAATGCTGGACAAATTAATCAAAGTAAATTGTATTGTATTGTGTAGATGTGATGTGAAGTGATAACACCTTTGGGAACGCTGTAGGGCTTCATACCGAGCCTTCAGCTTCATGTACTCCTGCTGGCTGCTAAGTTCCTACATACATACATACATATATATATATATATATAGAGGTCAAATTAATTAAAACGGATATATTTCCATATATTGGCAAATTGTTCTAGCATGTCAGCTTAAAATTCAGCCTATCGTGCACTAAGATATTACCATGAACAGTAAAAATTTTAAATTTGAATAGTTGTATGATGGGATATAAATAGGTGTTGATGCGATGTTTTGAATGTAAAATTGATTTTTAGTATAATATAAAAAATGAAAAATAGGTATTTGATTTAATGTTTTGGGGGAGGGGGAATAGGATAAAAGTGTATTTAAAATTCAATTCCCAAACAAACACATATATTATATATGAAAACCGATAAATTAACAACACATAATACAATCTCGCACAATACATACTATAACTGATTCTAACACATAACATACTTATATACACTGAACTTACAAATATAAACAAAAGTCATATAATTTTATTTCACACAGCATGTATTATTGACTGTTTAATCTGTACTATAAGATTGTTTTACCTATTAATTGGGATATGGCAACTTATGCAAAAATTTTCTTCATTTTTATGTGCTTTTCCCTCTTTTTTTTTTTTTTTTTTTTTCATTTTAAATATAATTTATAAAATAAATGTGTCAAAATTATATTATCAAAATTGTGTAAAAAGTAAAACTAGCAAACCAGCTCGGGATGGAAGGAGTATTCGACCGTCGCTATGGAATATTGGATCATTGATCTATGAGGAATTAATAGACAATTCAACCATAGAAATTAATCACAACTATGCCAATCACTTCATTATTTTCAAATATGATATAGTTTGGAATTTTTTATGTATTCTAAAAAATGTTCAAAAGAAATCAATACTTATTTGTTGCAATTTATTAGGAGAAAATTACAAATATATATATATATATACATGGTCGATTCTTTTTTTTTTTTCCAGCAATTTTGTTCATTTCTATCTGTCCTATAAAATTACAATACTTCACTTTTGCATTAGGAAATTAAAAAAAAAAATCTCAAGAATATCATATAATATTTTAAATATAAAAAAGAAAACATAATATAATGTAATTATTTGATGAAAATACAAGTTACAACCATACAAAATTACATAACAAAAGTGATAATTAGACATATAAGCGGGACCGAAGTTATAATTTTTTCTAAACATATTACTATATCTAGAATGTATTCACTTAATATTTTATTTTTACACAATTTCTTAATAATTATACCTAAAAAATACTTATATAATATACAATATACAAACATGCATAGTAATAAAAGATTTCTGTAAAAAAAGAAAACATTAAATATAATTTTCATAATATTTTTTGAATTCTCTATATCTCACGGTAAAAACACTTAAACAAACAACTATATACATGATAGTTTACAAAGGTATCTTATGAAATCATTTGTATTTTTAACAATCATTTTTATATAATTAGTATTAAATCTTATTTCTTTCATCCGATAACATTATTTTTAAAACCAGAATTCTACCATAAAATATAATATCCAATGTCACTTGAACAAGTTTAAATCCAAAACTACACAAATTACAAACAAAGACATACAAACCAGAATTTCAACTCTTACAAGAAATAAAAGATATATTTAATAACACAAAACTAATCTAACAAACTACCTACATTTGTCAATTCCAAAGGTTAGAAACTAATTAAATTGACGATCTTGAAATACACAACAATATTGACAAATGATCTGATTAATTTATGTTTTACAACATCAAGATTGACTATGTTTCGTTGAAATATTGTTTCACACAATGTCTTATTTAAGACAAGACCATATAGATTGAAGGTTTAAGATTATAATTTTATGATTGTCTAGAACATGAATTAAACTCCAAATAAATCATATCACTAATAGAAACACTTAAATTTGAAATATCTGCTCACAAATTGCAATTTGTTTTAATGATCTCAAGATTTTTACATTGCTCGATCGATCACACGTGACAATCCAAAGCTTGGTTATCTAACATGGTTTATAAGTCATTATGTGTTGTTTTTAATTAGTGTAGATTCTCATTTTTTGCATTATCACATTGATTTTATCATACCATAACCACCATAAAATTCGAGGCTAGCTTCATTAGCCATATTTCGTGCACATTTATAATTTTTTTTTTTTTTTTTTTGGTAAAGAAGATTCATTTGTTCTTTTCTTTGGTTTTGTTTAAGTGAAAGAATATGTAGGTACAGTTTTACTTCTCTAAAAATATTTGGCTTTGTTCACTTTCAATAGATATCATTTTCAATACATACTATTTCTCAATAAATATACACTATTTTATTTCAAAATACTTTTAACAAATAATAATAATATTTTCATAGTTTTCAACAAAAATTTTAAAATTTTTAAATACTAAAAGAACACAATTGAAGAATTCTAGCAAGACACTTGATTGCCAACAAGATTTGAAAGCTTGTAACGACCAATGTAACTAAAACATATTGTCCGACAAAATGTTAAGGATATGACTCCGTAATGGGATAATCTAATCGTATCCTATTGCACAAACTACATATGTCAAGAATTGAAGGGTGCCGATTGAAGAATTAGGTATATGCCAAGATCTTAGCTCGACGTTTTGGATTTATGTGAATTCTATGTTTTAATATATATTTTTTTGAATGAATGTCTTTATTTACTAAAAAGAAAATGCGAATATTTTTTTATGACAACAAAAAAATATATATTAGCATACATTTGAATGATGGAGAGAGTAATATTTATAAACTTTAAAAATTTTATTCTTGGTATGAATATGTGGTTTAAGGAATTAGTTATTTTGTTTGATTAACAATATATTTAAGTTGCTTAGGTTTTTTTTTTATTATTATTATTTTTTTTTTGGGGGGGGGGGAGGGGGGGGGGGGGTAGTGTGTATTTTTTTTAGTTATTGTTCAAATGTTGTTTTTGTTCTTGAATGTTTTAATATACTATTGCTACATAAACTAATTTATGTTAAGAAATTTTAGTTATTCATGTGCTAATTGTTGTATTTATACAAGATGACGGATTTTGTTAGGCATTGAATTGGCACCCCTTTCGAATCTTGTGACATATTTTTTAAGGTTTCAATTTGATCACACTGTCGGCACACACACCTTCACGTCGCTTGGGATAGCCGTAATGCTAATGAATAACAAAACTCAAAACCCCAAATAACATACCTAATGTAAAACAAGCTTCGAAAAATAAATTTCAAATCCCAAATAACAAATTAGAATAGTTCGTAAACCAACCAATAATCCCAAACACTAGATTAAAAATCGGATTGATTTAATCATCATGTATTGATTAATCCATTCCTTGTATTCCTTCCCATTAGGCCAAATATATTTTGGCAATTCTAATGTATATATATAAACTCGGAAAACTCGTCACTTAAATATACGGACACTTCTAGAGTTTTCGACCCCATCTAGCCTCAAATTGAGATGATAAATAACATATGATCTAAATTTTATATATGGATTTGTATGTGAAAGAAAAAGAGGAGTGAGAAAATTAAATTACCAGTGCTTCTCTTGTGGAGACATTAGCCTCGGGAGCTCCATAGTTGCACTTCTGATACCTTTCCAGTGTCTTGATCATGCTGCCAAAACAACAACAACAACAACAAAAATTCAATTATTCATTAAACATCGATATTAATTAATCTCTGCAGATTTTCAGATGTATATTCTCTAACTGCAAAATTATGATGATAGTGTGTGAATGGCAATGCATACATGCTTCTGTCTAATCATGACAATATATATATGCCTTCTTGATTAGTACAGATCAGAAAGAAAGCCTCTCTTTGATCTTCGGAGTAATTCAAGATGTCTGAGGACTGACTACAATATGTATATATATATGTGTGTGTGTGTAAGAGAGAGAGAGATTAGAGGGAGGTGAAGTATTATTGTCCATGGGAAATTAAGGAGCAACTCTTCTGATCTGATTGCGTAAAAACATACATATAATTGTCTTTCTTGCAGCTTTGTTAAAGATGTAATGACCCCTAAATAATTGGATGAACTCACAAGAATCCACAAAGACATGACAAAATAACATTGCAGCTTCAAATTAAATGAAATTTTAGTAAAAAAAAAAGGTAAAATCCTGCAGAGTGACCACCCCCCCACCCAAAATAAAAAAAGGAATAGTGATGATAGAGAGAGAGAAGGGAATCCTTTAGATTGTATCCCCTCTTATCCCCAAATCCCAAACCCTAACTCCAAGAAATACTTACACAAGACACTCCAATTTTTTTTTTTTTTATTTACTTTTTAAACTAAGAAAATAAAAATAAATTTTAAGGAGTGAGAGGTAAATTTAAGGGTAATCGATGGGTAGCAAAGAACAAAAAGTTACTCCTGAAATCCAGTTGATAATTGTCCGGACCCTTAATTTATTGCACTGAAAACTAACTCTGATTTATCCAAAAAATTGGAAAAAAGACGAACTTGAAACCCTAAAAAGCTTTAATTTTGACCTAAACACAAACTCAAAACCCATTTTTAAAGCTCCACAATAAAAAAAAAAAAACACTCAGATTTGTCCCAATAAACACTACTTTAAAAACAAAAAAAAAATTCAAATTTAAACAAGGGGATCAAAAAGAAAACTTGAATTTTCTCCAGATCGGATCGATCTGCCCACAGAAATTTAAAAAAAAAAAAAAAACACCACTGATCCTTTCGAAATGTAGGGATGGAGTTAAGAAGAAGAGAAATTATACAAGCACACAAATACACACATATACATATATATATATATATAGAGAGAGAGAGAGAGAGAGAAGGGTAGAGAGAGGAAGAGGAAGCAGAAACCCCAACACAAATAAATATAGAGATGGAATTGAAATGAAATGATCTATCTGGTAATTCATGTATGTATGTATGTATTGTTGGGGTTGGGGTTGGGGTTGGGGTTGGGGGGTTTCCTTCCTGTTGCAGATCTAGCAAAAACCACAAGCACGGAGTCCTATACGCCTCGAAAACATTCACTGAAACGGAAAAACCAAAAACCCTCCCCCTCCCAAACACCAAAAAAGAAACCTTCCTTTTCCCTCTTTTCTTCCAAGATTGAATTTTTAGACCAGACCAGACCACACCACCAGATCCATCTTCCCTCATCTCATCTCATCTCATCTCATCTCCAAATCATACGATAACAAGGAATTCAACATTACCACACTCAAATAACACAAACAAAGTAACCCCCAAAAAACACACATTCCAATTAATTTTTTCAAAAAATTAAAAAACCCTAATATCTAATTAACTCTACAACATTATACATGAATATAGGCACTGCAGCACGCCCTCACACATATGGATAAATAGATAGATAGATATATGGTGTTTGGCTGGAATTTTCATTTTTAATACCAGATATATCTGTATTATATGTATACATATATATGGGGTGTGTGTGTATGTATGTATTTGTATACCTAGAGCTACTGCAAAACTCGTACAGCTTTCCCCTATTGGAGAAGATAATCAGAGCAACCTCAGCGTCACAAAGAACTGAAAGCTCATATGCTTTCTTCAAAAGGCCATTCCTTCGTTTTGCAAAAGTCACTTGCCGGTTGATCTTGTTCTCTATTCTCTTCAGCTCAACTCTCCCTCTTCCCATCTCTCTCTCTCTTCTCTCTCTCTCTCTCTCTCTCTTTAACCCACAAAAACACAAAATAAACAACCCCCTTTCCCCTCTCTTTCTTCTGTGTTCTTAATAAATTTGCTCCCAGTAATAATATATATACATATATCTGTATGTATATATATATGTGTGTGAGAGAGAGAAAGCATGATCCAATGAATCAATCCAGTTGCAAAACCTAGATTTCTCTCATTTTAATTTTTTAATTTAAAAGAAAAAAATAAATTGCAATTTTTCTTTTTGTGATTTTATGTGGCTTGGACTTTTTGGAGGTGATTATTATTGCTGACATGATCAGGCTAAGGGTAAAGGGGGATGGTGATGAAGAATTATTCACATTTTTGCATTTACAGCTACTGCAATTTGATCCGACGGTCGAGATCGATTTGAGGGTTTTTGTGAAGGGATTTCCTGCAATTTTCTCTTTTACATTTATTTCAAGTTTGTGTAAAAAAGTAAGAAAAGGAAACCTTAAAACTGATGAGTTATGTCAAAGAGTCTTGCCACGTGTCGATCTCTGAAGTGGCCCTAAACTAAAGAGACTGAAAGAACCTCAATTACCTAACCTGATTTCCCCATTTTGCCCCCCCCACAAAATTTTCTGCCTTAATATGTCAATTTTGGAGCAACTTATCTAAAATAATTTATTGATTTATATATATACATATATTTATTTATTTAAATAAAAACCTGAATTGTAAAATAAATATGAAATAACTGAATCTGACAATTTATGTTGGCACCAAATGTAGACGAGTCTGCTGCTTAATTCCTTAGCCAAATTAAAGTTGTGAACTCAGAATAAATATACTGGGAAGAATTGTTGTTCGCCTAATATTGGCAATTATCTCAAATTTTACTCATTAATGCAAGCAAAGATTTGCAAATCTCCATTTACGACTTTCCTTGCGCATCTAAATCGATCATTTTTATTACATTGTCCACGAATACTTATTATTATTACTATTATATTGTTCTTATATAAAATTTGGCTCGCTTCGCCGAATCATGCAATTTAAATTCCATCGACGATAGCAACCCTATCCCGAGAAATAAATTTGTCGATACCTGTTTTCTTTATTTAAATGTTTTTATAAATGAGTAAAAACTTTATTTAGCATGGTAAAACATAAAATTGTGTAAATAAATAAATTGCAATAGTTTGAGAGTATTTCAAGTATGAAATAATATTTTGAGAGCAGCGGCCACAAGTTCCTATATTATCAAAAAAGAAGAAAATAATAATAATAAAAGAAAAAAATAAAAACAGTTGGGATAAATGCATATATATAAAATAATTGAGATTGGTGTAATTAAGGATTTTAGTTTAAACCTTTTTTTTTATTATTATTATTCCTATATACTATTTAAACCAATTTTTATTTTGCTCGTTTAACTGTTCAAAATAATATAATATACTACATTATTTATTTTTTTTAATTCTATTATTGTTTAAATTAATAGCTAAATATATCAAACACAAAAGTCATAAAAACAACACGTGTGAATTATAAAAACAATGCATGTTTTTATTACACACAACATGTGATGTTTGTTCATAATTATAGTGAGTACTGTACAAGAGTATGTGGTGTGCTAAAATCAACTGTTGCATGTGTTATCTAAGTCTATATCATATTTTGTTAGTTCATGCGATGCATTTGTATTATATTAATATAAATGACGTATTGTTAATAGTAATGTCGTGTGCTTTTTGTAAGTTTATTGGGCGTTGTTCAGCACAGCGCTGAACTTTAAATTCAGCATTGTAACTGTCGCCATATATATATATATATATGTATGATTTAACATTTTTTTATGATGTATTAATGGAAATGTAGTGTATATTATTAAGGTAAATCCTCGACCGAACTTAATATCTTGCAAACCAGGTCCGACGGGAAAGTCACACTAGGCGAACCATGTGTGACAAAACTATGTGTTATTATTTAACATATAATATGTTGTTGGTATTTATGAATTGTACTAGCTTTCTCTTAACAATGTGTTGTCAGTATTGTAACTGCAGTCAATATTTTTACACATATATATGTTGACGAATCAACACCACATTTAAATTAGCCATGTGGATTTTTTTTTTCTTTTTTTACATTTTTAATCTTTAGCAATTTTTTTATACATTAATCATTCCGTCCGAAAAATGTAAATTTGTTTGGATACAAAAATTTTAAAAATAATAATATTTTAATATTAATACAAGTAGTAAATAGTAAATTAGAAATATTATGAAAAATCTATTAAAGTATTAGTAAAAATATAATGGAATGAGTAGAACATATAGTGATAAATGAATTATTTTTTCTTAAAATCATTGTAATAAAAAAAGTTTATGGATAAAGTTGTTTACATAAATATAATTGACATAAATTTAACGGATATCCAAAAAATAAATAATAACATAATTTTAGTAAACGAGTATAATATTTTTTTATTAATCTTTTGATATACATAATTCACTTAGAGTTTGTGTACTAATAATTTTAATACTTCCTCCGTCTCGGATATTTTGTCTGTTTTACTGTAAATACAGGAATTTAGAAATGGTATAATTAGTAAATAATTAAAAATGTATTAGTAAAAATAATTATCATATAATAAAAATAAGTATAGATTAAAATTAAGATAATTGATTAGTATAATTAAAATTTAAAAAATATAAATTAAATTTTTTAAAATAAAATTAAAGTGTATAATTATTTTTCGAAAAAAAAGTGACAAAATAAGTGAGACGGACGTAAATAAAAAGGTGGACATGAGAAATGAGACGGTGAGAGTATAATATTATATAAACTAAAAATACATAATTTTATTAAAATTTGTGTATACAAATTATTTTAGTAATAATAAGAACTCAAAATAAATATTCCCTCCGTTCCAAAAAATTTGTCTTGTTTTTTCATTTTCGTTCGTCCTAAAACAATTGTCTTTGTTTTCTTATTTAGTAGCCGTAGTCCTCACTTTATAACAAAATTATTCCTACTTTTTCATACTACTCTTAATTATTACTGTAACATACTCTTTAAAAATAAATAATAAAATTATATGGTATAAAATACAGGTTTTAAAAATATATGTTGAAATGGGGGAAGATAGTGATATAAGTATATCGGTGATACGTAATTGTAAGTGCTGTACGGATTAGTAAAAAGGGATTTGACATCACATGTGTGATATGTCCCAACCATACTCTGTCCTCATCACTTTGGATCTTGAAATTTGATTTGATATGCCATTCCTATAATAATAATAATAATATTATTATTATTATTATATCTCCCTACCAGATAAGGAGTCCATTTTTATATATTTTCATCCATTGTAATTTATCTTTTTCTAAAAAAAATAATACTCGATCTGTCCTATTGAAAAGTTATAATTTTTCATTTTCGTCTGTCTTAAAACAAGATTGTTATTTTCTAATTTAGTAATTGTACTACCTACTTAACATAATAAATACCCTTTCAACTTACACTATATTACACAAATGCCATTATTTTCATATTATACCATATTAATAGGGGTATTTTTGTCTTTTTCACTACAATCCAATATAATACTAATATTAAAAAATTTACGCGCAAAAAACAAACGGCACCCTTCCAACGGGACGGAGAGAGTATAATTATTTACTTTAATTACATTCAAATTTTATAATTTTTATAATTTTAATTAAATTATTTAGTTATTTTAATCTTAATTTATAATTATTTTATTTTAATTAATATATTTTTTAATTACTTACTAATTATATTTTACCTAAATTTTCATGTCTACATTAACATGGACACTTTTAGTGAGACGGATAGAATAGTATATGTATATTAATATGAGTTGGACAGATTTTAATAAATATATTATTATAATGATTTATTTTGATATAAAATAAAAATATTTTTGAAAGTATATAAATAAATAAAATATTGAAAAATATAAATTGTGTAAAAATTATTTTCCATACATAAACATTACATATTTTTTTTGACAATAAAAATAGACAGATTTAGTGGACGAAGAGAATAATGATAATAATAATAATAATTTGAGTTTGTCCCTTAACAAATTATTCATTTTGTTACTTTTGGTTTGTCCCGTAACGAGTATTTTTTTTTATTTTAGTAATTGTACTATGTATCCAATATTAAAAATAATTTTATATTTAACATATATTATACAAATATCATTACATTTATATCATGTATTAAAGTTATTTTAATCATTTTCTCTTAATTTAAATTACATATCAATATTATAATAATATTAAAAAATATGCGTACAACAAGCAACCATATACTTATTTACGGGATAAATGAAGTGATAATAATAATAATAATAATAATAATAATAATAATAATAATAATAATAATAAGTGTAGTTAAAAAGTAGAAAAAAAAAAATTATAAGCCATTGAGTATGTTTATATATATATATATATAAGCTTCAATTGGTTTGTTAATTTTATTTTGTACTATATAATTATTAAATATATACTACAATCTATATAAATTTTATTTAAAATATATATTTTTCATACAATATATTATATATTATATTTATTTTACTGACATTAGATACAATGTGTTAGTCCATCAACAATAGTTACATTTAAATAAAAAATTAATATACTATCTCAAAAAAAATTAAAAATAACCTATACAAAAAAAAAAAAAAAAAAAAAAAAAGGGAATTGGAAAGATCAAAAGAAAAATAAGCACAGTCCTAGTTCTTGAAAAATCAAATCTATATATTCGTAGGAGAATAGGCATGCCTAATTTGACATGAGACTAATTAATCAAGTAAAAAGTGATTAGGCCTTTAAATTTCATTTCATATTAAATTTGGCTAGATTATTACCCATATATAATTTCGATTTATTTTTCTTAAATAGGTGACGTGGTCAAAATGTTAATACTCCCTCGCTCCAGTTATCATTTCTTAATTTAGTAATTGTACTACCTATTTAATATAATAAATACACTTTCAACTTATAATATATTACACAAATGTCATTACTTTTATATTACACC